GGGGACGAGCACACATTGGCAATATGTTGGTGACTCATATCAAGACTTCTGTATCGTGACTCAGGAGCCAGAGCCGGGATAGCGTGTGCTTGGGAATCGGTGGGGAGCCGTGTGGGATGGGTGGGATTGGTGTACAGGGTCTGCGACAATCACATGCCCTGCTAAGCCCTGAATGCCTTAACGCCTTTCGCACCTCTCCGACCCACCGACCCACTTATTAATGTCGTACCTCCAAGGGAGTCCACGGGGAGAAGGCTGGAGGCAGCGTGGCGGGAGGCGTGGCGTGCACCGTGCGCGTCGCTGCCCCTAAGCATGGCGGAAGCGAAGGCAGAGGCAGCCCTGTAACGCAGCAAGGTGTGGGGCGGCGGCGTGCGGGCGGGGTATTATAATTTCTCAGCATAATGTGAGGATAAGTATGACTTCGTCGATGGTGGGGACTGATGGCCAGCTCTTCCGGCAACGTGAAGCAGGCAAGGCGTTGAAGGAGGGCACGGCGTTGAAGGAGGGCACGGCACCAGGCGCCATGCGCAGTACTGCACTAGTGCTTTTCAAGTTTCTTTTGCTGGGCGAGCTCGTCGAATACGCATGAACTTCGGCTGAAAGAAAATTAAGAGCCGAAGCAGCACAGAATTACAAGGGAACAAGATAATTAATTTTCCTTGAGCGGTGTCGTGAACTTTGTACACGATGCTCCAGCAAAAGCAGCAAAGGAGTGGTTCAAATCTTGGCGCGCAAAGATAGGCAGGATTGGCGCATCCTGACGCCAAACAGCTGACCATCTGCAGCGATTTATTGGAAGACTACCTTCTGGCCAGAAAGGTGCAGCCTGGGACGGTAGGCTTGTCAGACGGCTGCGTCTCTATCCTCGCCGAGCCTAGGTCCCGCTGCCGTCAATAGGTTCTATCGATAACACGCGGCTAGTCACTGCTGTTGGCTGGCATGCACTTTCCTATTTTCCTACCCTGCTGCCCTGTTTCCGAACCAAACAGAAGACGTCTGCAAATTGCTGTCCCATAGGCGACGCTGCGAGACTGTACTACTTACATCATGTCTATGAGACACAGGCAAAAGAGGGAATATCTTCTCCACTGCACGGGTAGATGTGAACCGTGGCGTCGTCTGGCACTGATCTGGGTAATGAATGAAATGGCGTCCAAGGAGAACAGGAGTCGCTTTGGGGCGCAGGCGCGCGATGCTCTGTGCTGTGGAACTGCGCGCCGCCGTATTCACGGAGGAAAATGTTGTCCGCCGTCCACCTACAGAGGCCCCGAATCAGTATTCATGCCACGGATTGCACGTCCGCGTAGGGCGCTAATGTGAACTATGGCTACGCTTGCCAGTGCACTTGCCAGGGTGGATGTCTGTCGCCTGATGGGTAAAGTTAAAAGCGCGAAAAGGTGATAAAGTATCAGGAGATATACTTGCGCTCTATTTTCAGTAGGTCTGAGCGATCGCGGCCATCTAGGGACCCATGGGTCTATATATTTTAATTGTACGAATCCTCAATAATCTGACCTGTACTAGGTACGAGGGACTCTCGCAGCGTATGGCGCGCAGCTGGCTACTAGCAAAAGTAAGACCAACTTAGGTGAGATAACGTATTGACGACCAAAGTACGCGCTTGTCATAGCAAGGGAGCTTTTTGAGGTCTACAGGGTTACAGATGGCTATCGTGCGAGTTGAGCGCAATTTTTTCTTAATGACGCGACCGGGTCAAAGCTTGACAAACAGTCCTACACCGCACTCAAAGCGACTTCGGCCCCTCCTAGATATATCTCTGTGGATCCAGCCGGCGCCTTTCAAGCGCAAGCTTCCTAGAGGTACTTCAAATCTCATTCCACCACTTTATCGCACGGCTTAGCATTTGGCACGCATGCGCTACGTTCCGCGCATGAGGCCTGCTATTGCAGCAAAGCAAGAACCATACAATAATGGATAATTACTGCATATTTATGCAAAGGCAGCAACAGCCGTAGCAAAGCATATTTGCGCCGATTGTTGCCGAGCGATATGCAACCTTGACGACCTGTTGAGAACGTTGCTAACACATATATACATGCTCATGCCCACGCTTAGCAGCAAACAACTTAGTTCTAGCGAACGCGTTGCTGACCAAGGCTGTGACTTTCCCACGCCTCGGTAACTTCCATCCATCCCGGCCCACCGCATGGCGCGCAAGCAACGCGAAACATCCGGCGTGCCCCGCCACCCCGACCACCGCCCGGGCCGGCGCGCACTCTGCACTCCATACATATGCGTGTATCTCGTCCAGGACGCGGAGGCACGTACGTTCGTACGTACGAGGTGTTGCCTGGAAAGGCTATCCCCTGGGGACGCAACAGCCCATAACGAATTTGAAGGAAGACCGTCTTCTTCTGTAGGCTAGGTGCGACACCTATCCTACGGGTATATCACCGCCATCCAGCCATACCCTCATCCAAGCCTGGCCAGCGCGTAACACGCCAAACTAAGGCCCTGTTGTCGTACTTTGTTTAGCGCTGATGGTTTAATTGATGAGTTTTCTTTTTTGGGGGGCCGGGCCCCAGCGCGAAGCGCTCGGGGGGGATTGGTCATGTCCGTGTGTCCATGTGAAATTACCGAACACAATATCTCATCGAGCTGTAAGGAAAGCTGTCTGCTTAATGTTGGAGCTGACC